GTTTGAATGTAATGTCAATGCATCATTTTGTGAAACAGAACAAATGAGAGAGAGAAATTTCGTCGTGGAGAACCAGCCTGACCCCCCAGCCTAGGTCATTAGCAGAGTTGTGGCTTTAGATCCACAGCATCAAGACTCCTGCTTGGCATGTCGGAGTAACCATTAGCAGTAGCAGACTCAGTGTGGAGAGGGGCATGAGACCCAGTCTAGTAGGTCCCACACCATTGATATCAGAGGAACACTGGGTCTGTTTACACAGATATTTAGGGTGAACTGAGATCGTCCTCATCCATATGAGCTTTTGCCCTTCCTGCATGTCTGCCGTTCCCTATCTTGATGTTCATACCAAAGCCATCTACGCTGTCCTGTTTCTCTTAAGCACAGCACTAAGTTATATCTCAGAGTCCCTAGGGATTTGTCTGTGCACCATTTCCCCTACTTGCAGGAGGCGGGTTGAAGGGCGGGTGGGGGTACAGAAGAACCGGAAGTAAAGAGCAGGGGACTTCTGTGATTTCTTTTGTGGGATTTCCTGTGCTCAAGCCCTGAAGTGCAAAGGTGAGATCCAAGCCTGATCACAGAAAGGGGAAGACTTGAAGACAAGTTGGGGGAGGAGTTGATCTTATACCCATAAATTTAGCAGGTTGGGCTGGGCAGCTGCTGGGAGTTGATCTTGGGCGTTTACTGTATGGGTGGTCACCAGGTTTGGGCTTGGGGGTGACTTTTAGGTTGACCCTACCCATCAGTGTTAACATAGCCATGGAGACTCAGGATGCCCAGGTTCAGCTCCATGCTGTAAAGGTGAGCGTGCTCTGGTCATTACAAGCTGTTCTGCCTCTAATCTTCCCAATCCCTCCTGCCCCGACGGGGCTGTCTCTGTCCCCCATTTCCCTATTCCTGGGTGTCTATCTTCTCCCTTTTCTGGCTACTGTTTCCCCTGCTCCTTTCCAGCATCAGGCTCAAGATTATAACCCCATTGAACTCCCTATCCCATTCCTCAACCCCTTTGCATCCGAGATCAGGCTTTTGCTGCATGGATTGCACAGGGGAGGCAGTGCTCTCTCCTATTAACTCACAGTTGTTGGAGCCACAGTTACAGGGAAGGTCCTGCTCAGCTCTCAGCCCTGGAACAGAGCGTGCCCTGGGGTCCTGAGGTCTGCCGGCATGGTACGCTCAGCACTTAGTTGCTGGGAGAAGATGAAACCTTCTGAGTACAGGCAGAGATTTTCTCGGACTTCAGTCAAATCTCTACAGAGCACAGGGCAAACTGAGGGGTTGGATTTATTTTCCCCAAAGTCTCATTACTTACTGGGATTTGGGCAGTTTTTCTTTGGCACAGTCGGGCATAATCTTGACGAAGAGCCTGACCCACTGCAAAGTTTCAAGTCCTTGCTCCTGAGATGGGGCCCTAGAGCTGCCAAGGAAAATTCTTACAACTAATTAATTTATGTTCAGTCATGCTCTGTCATCTCATTTTTGGAAATAGCTGAAACTCTCCAAGGAAAGATCCCGAGGCAGATGCTCTGCATGGAAAAGATCAGCCCGAATGGTTCACTGTAAATAACTGAAAATGGGGTCTTTTCATGGGAAGTATCAGGCAACCTCCTTAAATCTAGGTGTAGCTACCTTCACCCCTGCACTTGCTCCTTTATACTGGGTGAAGGTTGTAGACATGCCAGCATTGCAGGGTTTATTCCTGTGTTGTTCTTTCTCTTAGCTTTCCACGGTTCACCCAAGGGTGCAGGGGCAGCTGTTGGACCCTAACGCTGTTCTCCGTGTCCCTGTTACTGCTGGGCGGAAGGGAAGCTGAAGAATTCAAACAAAAGGCAATTATCTGCACTTCCAGCAAAGGTTACAAGCTCAAGAACTTCCATGGGTGGCGAGCATTTAGTTTGATTGGAAAAGACATTAAATTTGTGTGCAAATCAGCTGCACTGCCCTCTGCAAATTACTATGACTCTGAAAAAAATGGCCATGATTAACACTTGGGATTGTCCAGTCCACTCACTTAACATGAGGACATGGCAGAGCCTTGGTCATTTACCCGTTCACATTAGCTCTAGCACTGACTCTTCTTGAATCAAGTGTGGGAAGAGAAGTCACTGGGCACGCCTACACTTCACCCTACATCCCCGTGCCTGGCAGCTACTTCGCCATAGCAAGGCGCTCTCCTGTTTTAGCGCGTCCCAATGGTGAAGTAATGGCTAAAACTAACTGTGTGCCATGTGCCCAGCGCAGTAGGGGCAGTTACTGTGCTGTGCTTTAGTGCTTCCAAAAGGAAGCATTATTGTACAGCGCAGTAACAATGTCACCATAGGGCCACATGCAGACGCGCCCACTGAGTTGCCCAAGCAGTGAGGAGGCTTTATGCACGCTGTCTCTAGAGAGGCTGAGGACAAAACAATGAACCATGGCACTTTTTTTGTTGCAGTGTGCATCATTTACCGCTTTATGTGATATTCATGGGAGCAGCCCTGGTCCCATAGGCCGTAGAGTGGTCTTGTCACTTGATGAAGGATGTCGTTTTTTGCCCCGTGGTGAAATGTTACCAACTTTCGTCACATCCCAGCAGCCGTTTATTTAGTTGCTCTCGTGTCTTACACTGTTGCTTGGCAAAGTCGTTGCCTTTAAAAAGAAAAGAACAATATTAAAATAGTTGTCATCCGAATCCTCAGCTCACAAAGAGATTAGGTTTGTTGCTAACATATTGGCAAAGTTTTCGTCTTTTTTTAATATAAGGGACCACAAGTGTTCGTTGTTAGAATTGGCATCGAGTGCACATGAGATTAAAATGCGCAAACCTTCAAGTGGTGGCTTATTGAGCCAGATATGCCTCTTGATAAGATTAGAGTTGTTCACATGAAGTTTTTTCCACTATCTTTTAGCTTGTTTGTAAATGACCTGAAATGTAGATTTATTACATGTGTGCTTTTGCAGTTATTGTTTGCAAATCCCCAAGCACATTTCAGTTGAGCTACATTTATGTTGTTTTTGTAGTATTCTTCTGTTTCAGCTTCACGATCTGAGTAACTAAAAATATTTTGTGCAACATTGAATTGAAATGCAAAAAGGAAATCTAACATGTGGCAGACATGCCTGAATTGAAATGTGCTTCAGGATTTCTGGAAAGAAATGCTTATGAGAACACTTTCACTATCTTTGCGCTATTCCGTGTCCTCAGACGCTATGGAAGGGTTCAACTAAAAATGTGCTCACTGCACTATGTTTAATGCACTTTCAAGATCATTTTGTTTTATTAATAGAGCGCAGTTTTAAAGTGCTACATTTTGGTACACTTTACTCCAGTACATTTCCATCAACATACATCTCAACACAACCCCCAAGGTAAATATTTTCTCGCAAGTAAATGTTTGGGTCACCGTTTTCTAACATAATAAAAAATGTTTAAAATGAGAGATTTGAACAAGTGCACATTACCTCATATAATTACTTTAAACAACTGGACCTTATGGATATAGTTTGGTGGTATCCTGGTTAGCAGAAAATAGTGCCAAAGTTAATGTAGAGGCTTACTTGAATCACAAAATGGGAAACAGTGATTTAAATACCTATTAGTACTATCAATTTAAATCATCAGTTCTGAGGCCGCACCGAATGTTGGGGCACCTTGGATGTAGCAAGGTGCCCTTCTTCTTGGTTTTTGCAATCCTTGTACAATCAGTCATTTAATCCCGTCTAGTCTTTGATGTTGGTGGTCCAGCTTGTCCTAGGTCTTCCGCTTCTTCTTCGTCTTTCCACATCATCTTGCAGGATGGTGTTGGTAAGGGTACTGGGCCTTCTTGTTGCATGTCCAGACCACTGCTGGTTTAGTTTGGTTTGGTTTGGACAATTTAAATCACTTTAATTGAGATCAGTCCAGCCCTACTTTTGGATGAGATCTGAACAGCCCAAGTCCTGCTTGGCCAGTCTGGGTGCTAACGCTCTAATGGTACTTCTGGTATGTCTAAAGGGTTGCGTCAGCGTTGATAGCTTCCCCTTGAATTTTGTGGAGTGCTTTATGCTGCTTGGTCACTGCCCTATTTTATATGCTCTCTGGTGAGAGCCTCTAAAGTGCGCTGTTGTCACATAGTTAACATGCCTTGGGGACCATGCTGCTCAGACTCACTGAAAATGGAAAATACTTTGCGTTCCAGAAACCAAACCAAAAAGATGAGACATGGAAGAAACAAGGCTCATACAGCCTAGCTATGAGATCAATGCAGACTTCCCAGTACATACAAAGAAACACTGTATGGCTCTTACGCAGAGTAGTCTAACGGGTTACAGCCAGAGACTGGGAACCGGTTCTGTTGGTACCATTCTCCACGCACGTACTGACGCACAAGGTGTCTTTGGCCATTTTGCTCAACTTTCCTGTGCCTTACTTTACCTGTCCATGACATAAATCAGCAATGCTGCTGCCTCACAGATATGTTGCAAGCGTTGCTGTATGCTTTGCCCCGGTTACGATGCAGAGAACCCTTAGTGTTGTTGTAGTAGTAAGGAGTGGGGGTGCGCATGGGAAAGCCAGGTCATGAGAGAGGTGGGAGGAAGGTGAGGGAGACATCAGCGTTTGGTGATGGTGAAGGAAGTGGTCAGAGAAGTTCAGCCTTTCTGACGAGCCTGCAAAAATGCAGCAGAAAGAAAATTAGCCCAATCACACATTTGCTACTTACATCATTGCATCCATTAGGTTCCCCATCATCCCTTGATGTACTCCCCCTTGATGATGGGGAACCTAATGGATGCAGTGATGTGAGTAAGTGGCAGTCGTGTAGCTTGGCTAATTTGCTCCCTAGCTAGGAGAGTCCCGTTCCCTGGGAAAGGTGCTAGCAGCACCCTCTATTGGTCACTGAAGGAAAATGTTTGTGAAGGCAGCCACCTGCATGACTCCAAACCTCTGTTCTTCCTGGGATGTTAACCAGATCTAAACTTCCTCCATAATTAATGATCTGTGTGTGTGTGTTTTTTTTTTTCCCCCCTTTTTTTCCCTCCCCCTATAGCATTCTCTTTGCGGACATAGAGGGTTTCACCAGTCTGGCCTCCCAGTGCACAGCTCAGGAGCTGGTCATGACGCTGAATGAGCTTTTTGCCAGATTTGATAAGCTTGCAGCTGTAAGTGTTCTATTATAATGCCGATATTTTTTCCTGTTACAAGAATGACACTATGATGTTTTACTGGATTTCTGTAAATGTTCACTGCCCTAAAAGGCAAGCTGTTGCAAGCATGAAATGAAACTGTACTTTCTCTCCCCCTTTTTTTGTAGGAGAATCACTGTTTACGTATAAAAATCCTGGGCGATTGTTATTACTGTGTGTCTGGGCTGCCAGAAGCAAGAACTGACCATGCACATTGCTGTGTTGAAATGGGGATGGATATGATAGAGGCAATCTCGTAAGTACAAAATTCTTCAGGAAAGGTTTCCAAACAACTAACAAATGTATTCTAGAGACACCTTTCTGGCTGGTGTTTCATCACTTAGTACAGGAGGCAGCCATTCCAGTGAACCCTACACTTACGGACCAAAAAAGAGAGCACAAATTGATCTGACAGACCAAGAGAGAAGCCTGTTTGAACCACGACCAGCTGTGGTATCAGAAAGGTTTCTCCCAACTGGGATAGCACAGGTCAAACTAGACATGGGAAGTTTCAGCCTCATAGGAGGAATATCTAGCAAGTAACAAGCATGTGAAAACAGTGAATGTATCATAGAAATCTGACTGTAAAGTTAATCAGAGTCTAGTCACTCTGCAGCAACACCAGCTACTCTCCCTTTTCTCCTCCAGGTGGGAAAAAACACTGCCTGTCAAGAAGCCTGGTAGGCTGCCAAGATACCTGAGCTAGTGTGGGTAGCTCTATCTGAGCTAGTGTGGGTAGCCCTAAGCCACAGCATCACAAGCTCAGATGAGAGGCAGAGTGAATAGACTCATCTGAAGCTTCATGCTGCTGCAGCCAGACTGCTTCTAGCACCTGAGCTATCCTCTAAAGCTAGCTTGGCTCTCCCTACCCTGGGGCGACCAACTCATGGCACACTTCCACAAGAGGCTGTGCAGCCCCTTTTGTTTCACATGCAGCAGATATAGCAGGGAGAACAGCACAGAAAAGGCATGGAGGAGAGGAAAGCAATGGATCAGGCAGGAGAAGGGGACCAGAGTGGCACTTGGGGAGGGGATGGGACTTATTGCTCGGCATGCTGACCAAAAAGTTTGGTCCCTACTGGTCTACATTGTGAGGTCTGTGGGGTAGATGTACCTGGAGTATGAATGGGGCTGTGGGGAGGGATAGGTCTTGGAGAAGCTGTGCAAAGAAGATATTGTATGCCAGAGATCTACATGTTGAAAAGGCTTCACTTATGCTACCTTGGCAAGTGGTTAGGATCAGGGTACTGAGGGCTGCAGCTGGTGCCACACCTGGGGCAGGGGCAGAGCATTTGGAGAGAGTAGCAGCCTTGGGGAAGGGGAAGGGAGATCCTGTGCACCCCATCCCTTGCCACAAGCCCTCTGTGCAAGGGTATTTGAGCACTCATGCAGGCTCTCAGGATTTGTCCCTTCCCAAAAGACTGCTCATTGGTGAATAGATAGCTTAAGTCCTCAGACTAAACACCTAACAGCAGGCAATTAAGCTTGCCTGTTCCTTCACTGGTGAACAACTTGATCCTTCATTGCCTTCCCCTTGTTCACTGCTGCACCAGTGCATAAAGCCTGAAGGTCAGAAAGGAGGTTTTGCAGTCCCTGTGCCCAGATATAAGTAAAGACAAGGCAGAGTGATGGTGAAGTCTGTTTAACATTCAGTAGCTGGTTGTTACCTTAATAACTGCTGAGACATTTTCTCTGTTCCTCCGGGTAGGTGGAAGATGGGGGAGGCAAGGATAGCAAGAACAGAAAGCCACTTATTCTAGATTTAGCAAGGGATAAAATAGTTAAATGCCTTTCATACCAAAGTGGGCACCAGGCTTTAAAGGTTGATGGAGAGCTATTTGTAAACAAAAATGGAGTGCACTTCAGCCCTACATTTAATTTCAAGGCGAAGCGGGTTGTAGCTGATCAAAGAAGCCTAAAGATTCTAGGTGTTACTCAGCTGAGTGGGGGTTTGCAAAGCAATTTGTTAAGAGCTATGGAGTCTATCAAGCCACCACCAGTAGGAAGTAAGCCTTTTGTTCTTAAAGATAATGCACCAAGTGTCTTTGTGGTAGGGGCTGTTGGATAAGAAGCTTCCTAACCTGTCACTTATTTCTACTCCCAGAATGAGACCATGGGATCCTTTACCTTTGCCTTTGAAAACAAGTTATTCACAACTCCTTTCAGTTTGGAGCTCTCATACAGAGCTCCTTGCGCAAAGAAGCAGAGACTCAAATAATGAAAGCACGGATATAATAGCCTGTGCGTTGTGCACTGTGCATACAATGAGAAATGTTGTTCCACGCTCCTATTTGAAAGGGGGCTCTTATGTGAAAACTTTGCCTTTTAAATTGCGTTCCAGGAATGCAATAGTTATGTGTGGGCATACATTTGTGACCTTGCTGAAATCCATATTATGAGAACGTACTGTACCCAGCACAGCGAATAGGTGTCTCTTGGATTTCATCAAGATGGAGTAGAAATTCAGTCCAATTTAACTGAACTGAATGAGAGCAGGGCTGCATGGAGTCTTTACATTCCTGTTTTAATTCCTTTGCTGCCTCAGGAGCTGATCTTGCAAGGACTGAACTCATTTAAACTGAAATCAGTGTGAACTGTGGACACTTGATGCATTATAGGTTGGGGCTCTTATTCGCCATTCCCAGCTTTGATCAGATCCGTTAATATAAAAGGCTACGAATAAATGTCCTTAGAGTTGGACAGTACAGCACCTACCTCACACAGGCAGCTGGAGCAATACTTGGAAGCTAGACTTTTATTTATGTAAGTGTCTTTAAGACAACAAGAGGAAAAAACCAACAGCTAACTTTTCAGTGATCACCATTCATCAACAAGCTGAGGGAGGGTTTAGCTAAGACCCCAGGATAAGCCCCAGGACCCAGGATAAGACCCCAGGATAATGTCAGGCGTTTGCCATTTAGAAATGCATTGGGTATTATTTTTAAACACATTGGGGCAGTGTTCAGATCTGTCTGCTTGTCTAGCACTGGAAATAGTGAGCCTTCAATCCTGGTTGAAATGTCCAAGTGCCATTGCAATGCACCCCACAACATTTTATGGAACTGCTGTTATTTTCACGCACACGGCACTTGCCTCTTTCCCCAGAATCAACCCCTTACTTTGGGGTGCATGTATGAAGCAGGGAATCTGGTTTTCTCATTGGGATAGAAACACCCTGCTTTGATTTCTGCTCCACAGCGTAGCACCCCCTGCATTACTAATTCAGGCAGCTAACAGGGTCAGTTGCCTTAATGGCTCATTGTTATTCACTTCAGAGGTGTTAATGATCAATTCTCACTTTTAATAGTCTTGATGTTCCGCTAATCAAGCTATCCCTTTAAATGGCATTTTGCTGTACTGGTCTCTCTTCCTATTTTATAGCCTTGAAGACTCTTTAGCGCTTTTCAGAATCATAGATTTTGAAAAGCCTTCAGCTAGGCTTTCAGCTTCAGTTAAGCAGGAAAGGGAGCATGAGTCATCTGGAGATTAGCCTCTGTCCCTGCTGTACACAGGCATAACTCTGAATAAACCTTTTTTTTCTTCCTTCTGCCTTGCAAAAACAAGGTACATATTATATTCCAGGGCATGTTGCATACACAAACATACAGTATTTGATCCACCGTTGCTGCTAAGCCCAGAGTGCAAGATGTTACTGTTTTGGCTGTGTACATGCATTCAAATACTCTGGGATAATTCTCCAAGGTTTGCTGTCCCAGTAGAGAAACTTACCCAGAACTGCGTATACAGACATTTGAATGAGGTCCCAAAGAGAAGAGAGCATGCACGGATCATAGAAAACGAGGGTTGAAGGGACCTCAGGAGGTCACATCTAGTCCAGCCCCCTGCTCAAAGCAGGACCAGCCCCAACTACATCATCCCAGCCAAGGCCTTGTCACATCAGCCTACTCCCCAAGTACCCTTGAGCGCCTTGCGTCCAGCCCCATGGACTTGTACACGTCCAGCTTTTCTAAATAGTCTATAACCTGTTCTTTCACCACCCAGGGCTGCTCACTTTCTTCCCAAACTGTGCTTCCCAGTGCTCTGCTCTTCTCGTATAGAGTGTGGTCTTGATGAGGGTATTGGACACTTTGTACCCACATCCCAATACAACTTCCATGTGCACACCTCTTAACTTTTGCCCTTAAAGGGCAAAGCCTGCAAAGTATTCCACTGATCACTTTGGGAGCAAACTGAGTATCCAAGGCTTTGTTAAAATTAGCATCTGAGTGCTTGTAGCTAACCATTTGCAGTGACTGCAGTAGGTGTGGTTCTCTGGTTTAGTGCTAGGACTGCAGCTGCAAACCTGGTTCAGGGTTTCCAACTGCTGTGGGTATTTCACACACATATCGCATTTCATCTGTAGAAGACTTGATGCTTGGTGCCATTCAGACAAATTAAGAGCTCTGAAATCATTTCCTTTTTTTCTTTGCAACATGCTATTACTTTTAATGAGGTTCTGAGAGCTGGCAGGTTATGTCCAGCTTTGGTATGGACTCAGAGCCCATTGCTTATTCCTTTCACCACCCCAAAGAATTTTTCCATGAGTTCCGAACTTGCGGCCAAGTCAAGAGTACATGGACTTGCTCCAAGGACACCCCTATCTAATTAGTACTCTGCCTGCCTAGCCAGGCTAGCCTGTCTGTTTTGTGTCATTAATAGTATTATGAATAAGCAGCACTGCTTGGGTACATTTGAATCATTTCTAGGGAATCGTGGATTTTGCATTTTGGGGGTCAAGCTGTGTCACCGGGCATGGGCATGTGGTTCTCAGTGACTTCCTTCTTTTCCTGTATCTCTTTTCAGATTGGTCCGGGAGGTGACAGGAGTCAATGTGAATATGAGGGTTGGGATCCACAGTGGGAGAGTTCACTGTGGGGTCTTGGGCCTCCGGAAATGGCAATTTGATGTGTGGTCTAATGATGTCACACTAGCCAATCACATGGAAGCAGGAGGCAAAGCCGGGTAAGTTTGCTTCACCAAAGCTATTGTATCAGTCCCCATGCAGTTTTGCTTTGGACACCTGGAGCCAAAGGGATATGTTCTAAGTTTCTCTGTCTTTCTGTGTCATTAAAAATTCATTTTAATACAGATCCTGAATTTTACATTTGTTACCTGTGCTGGCTAGATTATTCTCTTCCACCCTACACACAGTAAGTGTGTCAAAGCTCAAGATGGGCATATTAGAACTGACAAAGAAAGTATATAATCTTCTACGTAATTCTAGCGAGTTTTAGATTGGCATAAGCTAATAGATTTCCATGTGGACATGAGCAAACAGAGTCATGGGTAGACATGCAACCTTCTGCTAATATTACATGTGCTGAACAGCATCCCTCTTTAGATCACTGTTTTATAAGAAATCCAAAATGAACACCCCTGTTCATTACCCATGGGATGAAAGGAACAGTAGCTTCCCCATGAGGTCATTATTCTGCTTGCCCTTCTGTATTTCCTATCCTCTACAAGGAAAGAATAAAAAGCCTAATAAAGGCTGTGCTGTTTGTTTTGCATATGTGGTTAAGATCCATGCAGTACAAAAAGCTAGAAGGGCTTCAGTATATATGGCATGTTCTTGCATACACCCATGTCCTGGTTATATGCATGTACCAAAGCATGGCTTCTGAGCAAACATGCCTGCTATGTATTAGGGAGAATGAATCAGATGAGCAAATGGATCTTTTATAGCAAAGGAGATGTCTAATAAACTATGGACTCTGTTTGTCTTTTATCTTAAGGCGAATCCATATAACAAAAGCAACTTTGAATTATCTCAATGGAGACTACGAGGTGGAGCTGGGTTTTGGAGGGGAACGCAATGCTTACCTCAAGGAGCATAGTATCGAGACCTTCCTGATTGTACGGTGCAGCCAGAAACGGGTAAGAGCAAAGCAACTGGTTTAGGTGTGTTCGCCAGGTAGACAGACATCCACCAATCCACTGATGAAGCCTGATAACCAGGCTTTCCTGGCCAATGGAAATTTGGCAAGAGCAACATAATCCTCTAACAGTAAAGGCCGTGTGTTAAAAACTTCCTCTCTCACCCTTTTCTTGGCTTCCCAGCCTAGACACATGTTTAGGCTGAAGTAGTGAAAGAAGGGGAAGAAGTACCACAGTGTCCTTTGCACACACAGTTTGTGTACCAAACCCAGTTTAGCTACATCGAGAAACTTGGCCTTAACCCTTTTTAGTTCAAGGTTCTCTCTTTGAAAGACCCTGAATTGGAGATGAATGAAACCACTGCAGTAGATTTGAAAATCCTTGACTTTCTGAAAAGTCATGGACAAGCTTCAAAGTTTAATACTGGTGCTGGCCCCTGAGATAAACCACAGCCTCATTTCAGAACGCCCCAAACTTTGGGACTTCTCTGCTGATTCAAAAGGGAAGGCTGCCCTTCAATTAAGGCATAGGACTAGCTAGGACACGTGAGATCTGTTCCCAGCTCTACTATAGATTTGCTGTCTTGCCTTAATGAAATCTCTTGACCTATCTGTACCTCTGTTACCCCTTTTATCCTCACTGCTGTTTCATAAACATGGTTATTGTGAGGTTAAGTGTATCAACGTTTGACATGCTTATGTGACCATTCACCAAGTTGTTAGGTGAATGACTACTCTCCCTCTTCAGAAATAGCTTGAAGAGCATCTGTCACCTCTTTTCCTGGGAGAATAGAAACCTCAAATCTCCTTAATGAGCATTGTGCAAAAAATCTCTTAAGAAAATCCATTTTCATCTGTTAAGGGGAGAAGCTAATGTTTTGTATCTACTTATAAAATACATTTTGCTAATGACTGCCAGTTCTCAGAAGAGGATTAGAGCTTTCAGGATACAATAATTATATCGTGACATGACATGGCTGCCTGTAAGTGACCACACTTAAGTGCTTGAAGTGTTTATACTTCAACATTGCTCAGTGCATGGAGATGGCAGGACACAGATGGATGCAAAGGGGATGCAGTGGTGCACCCACACACCAGTGTCTGACCATGAGGCAGGAGCAGCAGCCAAGGACTAAGTCTTGAAGAAAGTAAGCATTTTCCTCCCCTCCTTCACCTGCTGCTGCCGGTGTCTTGCTGTTCCTGGGACAAGGGAAACCCCTGTTTTGCCCCAGCTGGGCTAGGCAGGGGCTTGGTTCAGCTGAGGAGACTGGAGTAGTGTACATTTGGGTTCCCTTTCCCTATGCCTGTTATTGAGCTGGCAGGGACACTCGGGGGGAGCAGGCAATGAGAGGGAGCCTGCTTGTCCATCGCTGCTGCTGGTGTCCGGGGCTGTGTCCAGCTCCCCTCCCCCCTGAGACAGCGGGGACACTAGCAGATTGAGAGAGGAGGGATGGGGTCATGCCTCTGAGCCCAGAGGGAAAGGGACGGGGGGATACTTATTTTTTTCAGGACTTACAGTTCCCCGCTGCTGCTCCCCAGGCATGGTCTGTCCACCCTGGTGCAGAGAAGTAGAGGACAGAGGCTGGGAGCGGGGGAAGCAGGCATCCCTGCAGCAATGATTGCTGCTCCCACACCCCCCTTTATAAAATCCCAGATTCATTTCTGATGGGGCAAAACACCCATCTGGTGAAGGGCCTATGCCTGAGGGAACAACATGGATTGACTCGTTAAATCTGGAGAACACGTTCACCTGTTGCCAGAAGAGGGATGTTGGTCCTTCAAAGAGCGTTCAAACCTGCCACTGCTGAGGAGACTGTAGGAGACCTATCAACGCCAGTGACCCAGTGCACAGGCCACTGATGACTCAGTTTGTGAGGAAGCCCTGCTTTCTGATTAAGCTTTCTGGTTCTCTCATACACTTTTTCTGTGACTTTGAATAACTCCCCAGATCTCTCTGGCCAGGTACTGACATTACAGTTTTACCAGTGTAAGTGATCCGAAACCTGGCTGTACCCGTAAGAGAATAGAAGTTTGACACGCAGACGGGTTTAAAAATGGTGGAACCCCATGTAAGATTTGCACCCCCCACCCCCCCGTGTAACTTAAATCGATTCTGCCTCGGGCTTTTTGAATGCTTCTGTCTAGCCCCTGTGTCTTAGTCCCCCATGCATAACACAGGGATGGCATTTTCAGTCCATTTCTCCTTTTCCTGCCTTACCTACATAGATTGCCAGTTCATTTATGGAGTGCAGTGCAGTGGGGCCTCTTTGCACCGTACTGCTACTGCTAATAGAATTTGCCCCTTGGGATGCAAAAGAATGTAATAGTAGGACTCTCAACACGCCCATGGGCTAGCAAATTATTAAACTTAGATGGAGAAATTCAGGCATTAAGTGACTTTGCAAGGTCACACAGATTAGTGTTCAAGGAAGCCCTGTGTCCTGAAACCCAGTCCTCACAATTCAAATTTCCTTGCTTCTACTCATTTACAGGAGTTTATTTTTAGGGAATTGTAGCTTTTAGGTTGTAACTACTTATGAATCTTTCAAAGCTCCATCTCCATATTTTAAAAATTAATTTTAATATAATAAAAAGTTGCCCGCAGTGAAAAGCGTTTTTCCCTTTCCTCGCCTTCATCCCACATAACATTTGGTTA